AGGCGCCGAGCCGGCAATTTTTTTTTTTTTTAAGAGACAGAGTCTCATTTTGTTGCCCTCAGTAGAGTGCCATGACATCACAGCTCACAGCAACCTTTAGCTCTTGGGCTTAGGTGATCCTCTTGCCTCAGCCTCCCAAGTAGCTGAGACTGAAGGCGCCCATCACAACACCCGGCTATTTTTTTGTTGCAGTTTGGCCAGGGTCGGGTTTAAACCCACCACTCTCGGTATATAGGGCCAGTGCCCTACTCACTGAGCCACAGGTGCTGCCCAGACAGGTAATTTTTTTATGCAGATCTATCCCATGTCACCAGTATTATCATATCACTAAAGATCTTCATCTTTCCATGTGATAAGAACAATGGGCCCTTTCTGCAAAAGTCATTTCCACTCTCTGAAAATTCTTTGATGTTTCTTTAGTACCTCCGACAAGCCACGGTTCTGCCTTGTAGTACCACAGACTACTGTTTTCCTATAATATTTTAGCTGTAGAAATGCTAATATAATCATTATCTTGGTATATACATGATGCCAAGAATCAAACTTTGGCTCTAAGATGGGTAATATAATTTCTTGTAACTTTTTACCTACTCTTTTTTTTTTTTTGGAGACACAGTCTCAAGCTGTTGCCCTGGGTAGAGTGTGCCCACAGTGAGTGTGCATCACAGCTCACAGCAACCTCTAACTCTTGGGCTTAAGGGATTCTCTTGCCTCAGCCTGCCAAGTAGCTGGGACTACAGGTGCCCACCACATGCCTGGCTATTTTTTGGTTGTAGTTGTCATTGTTATTTGGCAGGCCCAGGCTGAATTCGAACCCACCACCTCCTATGTATGTGGCTGGCATCCTAGCCACTGAGCTACAGGTGCCAAGCCCTTTTTACCTATCTTAAAGTTGCAAATGTAGGCAGTCTCACTTTCACAAAGCATTCTCACTAAAATCCCACATTTTGTTATCTGCTGGATTGTATATGTTCTGAAGCTGATCTGTCCTCTCTATAGTACCACTGCTTCATCTAGGGATAACTCCTGTCCGTATATACAAAGACTAAAATTTTGTAATCCAGAAAGGGCCTAATTTTATAAAATCTGTCTTCACTAGAGTAGCTTGTGAATTATCGCTAAAATGAAAAAATGTAAGGATTTGCTTGACCTCATTCTGGGCATAGTTTTTAGGAAATATTGGAATTTCAACCAAAGGGTCTGTTGACCAGTAATCCTTGCAATGTGTTTTTGTTGTTGTTGTTGTTTGTCCCATCAATATCCATAAACTGAGTAACTTCCTCATATCACTAGAGGTAACTTCCATCTATGGTAAGTTTTAGCAGAGTTTTTGTAAAATTGTTCCATTTGATGGGAATGTAAATTGGTTTAAGGAGCAACTAAATCAAAAAAATCATTATCAGGGCAGTGCCTGTGGCTCAGTGGGTAAGGTGCTGGCTCCATATACTGAGGGTGGTGGGTTTGAACCCGGCCCTGGTCTAATTGCAACAAAAAAAATAGCTGGGCACTGTGGCAGGTGCCTGTGGTCCAAGCTACTCAGGAGGCTGAGGCAAGAGAATTACCTAAGCCCAAGAGCTGGAGGTTGCGGTAAGCTGTGTGATGCCACAGCACTCTGCTGAGGGTGACAAAGTGAGATTCCGTCTCTACAAAAAAAAAAAAAAAAAAAAATCATTATCAAAAAGTAAATCCATCACTTTACTGATACTTTGTGGATCACTAAGTTCAACAATTAGACCAGAAATATTTGTATAATCTTCCAAGGTTGATGTGGTATCATTTTCAATCCATTCTTCTTCAAAATCACTTTCACTATAAGATTCTATTAACTTTTCTTTTTTTTGAGACAGAGTTTTACTTTGTCACCCTGGGTAAAGTGCCATGGCATCATAGCTCACAGCAACCTCAAAATCTTAGGCTCAAGTGATTCTCTTGCCTCAGTCTCCCAAGCAGTTGGGACTACAGGCACCCACCACAACACCCGGCTATTTTTAGAGATGGAGTCTCGCTCTGGCTCAGGCTGGTCTCAAACTCATGAGCTCAGGTGATCTACTGGCCTTTTTTGCTGTTTTGGTGGTCTAATATCAGATTCATAACTGTCTTCTGATAAACTATCATTTTCTAGACCACCACAAAATATTTTGAAATCACTAGGACCATCACAATCCATCATGGTTGAAATTATGACAATACTAGAATTATAATAAAAACCTGAGTATCAGGTGGTGCCTGTGGCTCAAGGAGTAGGGCACTGGCCCCATATACCGGAGGTGGCGAGTTCAAACCCGGCCCCGGCCAAAAACTGCAAAAAAAAAAAAAAACAAAAAAACCCAAAAACCAAAAAACAGAATATCTATAAAAATATTTTTTTATAATAAAGTGAACAGAGTGAACACAGTCAAGAAAGCTTTTACATTCTCCTACATTACACTGTGTTTTTTTAAAAATTGCAATAGCCAATACAAGTGCAAACATGAGTTAGCATGTGATTAGTCAATAATGTTTAGGCATGAAAACACAAGTTAACTCATGCCCAGTCAACAATGTGTTAAAATATTTTATCAAAATATTTCTTCCTAGAATAAGTACTTACATTATTCAATGGCAGAATATTGTTGGAAAATCTAGGCTAATTTTAGCCAATAGAGTATTAATGTAACTGACTAAATGTTTACGTATTTGGCACTATTAAAACACTTTAAAAGAGTTAAACAAGATGTTAAACCTTACTAAACTTTATCAATTTGTTTTCCCTAGAACTAAAGCTTAAGTGAAAACCATAAACACTGACTTTACAGGCAATAGAAGAGTTTAACAATTTAGTTACAAAATACCTAGCCAAAAACTTTACCCCTCATTTCTTATGACATTAAAAATAAAATGTTAATATACACAAGGTCCTCTCTATAATGACGTTTGTATTTTACTGCTTTCAAATGAGTCTCCCTGGAATAATCTTCCTGCCTCTGATAATCTATCATATTTCTTGCCTTTAAGGTAGATTTCTTTCTTTCTTTCTTTTTTTTATTTGCAGCTTTTTGGCTGGGGCCAGGTCTGAACCTACCACCTCCAGTATATGGGGCCGGCGCCCTACTCCTTGAGTCACAGATGCCACCGTTAAGGTGGATTTCCAAATCTGCCTTCTCTAGGAAGGATCTCATAAATTATTCTGTTGGTACAGAACTTCCTCAGCATATATGTTTCAATATGTCCATATTTTAAGCTTAAAGTATATGTTGTGTTTTCTTTCCAACAAATTATTAGATTTCTGAGGATGAAAATAAAATTGTTTCCATAGTGCTGGGCAATCCAGAGCTATACCCAGAGAGTACAGATTCTTATTTTCCCTTAGAAATCCTTCCTTCAAGCTAATCTATCTGGGGCTGTCCTAGGAATGGGGCTTCCAGGGCTGGAAGGCTATGATTTTCTGGAAGTAAAGGAAGGCCCTGGCAATGACAGCAAAATAAAACTGACCCTCCAGGGTGGCACCTGTGGCTCAAAGGAGCAGGGCACTGGCCCCATATGCTGGAGGTTGTGGGTTCAAACCCAGCCCTGGCCAAAAAAAAATCTGCAAAAAAAAAAAACAAAAACAAAAAACTGACCCTCCAGAGGATTCTATGGAGAAACACATGAGGATGAACACAGAAGGATACATTTGTCAGAACCAGTGTTCACTGTGGTGGCACCTGAATCATCCTTCTCATCTGCTTCAGTAAGTGATGTTAAGGAAAGTTATATGGAAAACAAAAGTTGGCACATTCTAACCTAACAGTAGAAAACATGCAATAGACTGGTGGCTAGGTAAAGCACACTGAATAGAGAAAGAACAGTTAGGGACATGACAATAAACCCAGGAGATTCATCTTTGGAAATCTCAACTTAGAGATTTCCAACATCTTCAGAGCTTTTGTCAGATCCTTTTCTTAGAGGCTGAAAAGTTTGTGTTCCAGACCCCCAGGGAACTTGTTAGAAATGCACATTCTTAGGCCCTACCCCAAACTGAGTAAATCAGAAATTCTGGTGCCATAAAGCCCAGCAATCTGTTTTAACAGGTCCTCCAGGAAAACCACTGCTTTGAAAGTTATTTTCTAGCGCAAGAACTGAAATTTTATTATTTGAACCATAACTTTCCCAACCCTGGTGACAAAACTCATGAGAAAAAAACCCAGAAAAAAAACCAGCCTCAAAGATGTCAAAAATCCTTCCCTACACCAGTGATTAACAGCTGACATTTCGGTATGATGTCCACTGCATACTGTGGCACATACTTCATTCAAATAGGCTCGGTAAGCATTTCCTAAATAAATTTGAAGTTTGAACTAACCAGCCCCTCATAGCAACATTTTCTTTTTGCATAGTTCCCAGTCACATTTCAGTTCTACTCAGGCATTACTTGGAGTTTCAGGCTTACTTTTAACTATGTGTTCACATAAAAAAAGAAGATTCAAATGAAACTCCTCCAAATTTAGAGAATCCTTCACCTAAAAATATTCAGGTTCTAGTCCTGGTTTTACCACTAATTCTGAATGCCTCTGATCACCCAATTGCCTCTTACGTGCCCTGGTTTCCTTATTGGCAGGGAAAGAACATAAAGATGGGTTGTATATGTGATAACACACAGTCTAAACATGTGTTATACAAACGTGTTATATAGGCTGGGCACAGTGGCTTACACCTGTAATTCCAACAGGATTGAGACTCCTAGAGAATGAGGCAAGAGGATCACTTGAGGTCAGTAGTTTATGACAAGGCTGGACAACACAGGGAGATCCCACCTCCACCAAAAAAGAAAAAAAAAAAATGTATATATATATATGTATACTAGCCCAGCGCTGTGGCACATCAGGAAGTTGAAGCAGGAGGATTGCTTGAGCCCAGGAGTTTGAAGCTATAATAAGCTATGATTATGCCACTGTACACCAGTGGGCAGAGTGAAACCCTATCTCTAAAAAAAGGAGTAAGAAAGTGTTTTACAATATTAGGAATCACAACTATATATTCTTTTCTGAAAGCATAATATAATTAGCCCATTAAGGCATCATTTGTCTTACACTGAAGTTTTTAGGAATATTCTGATGTGTTGAAAAATACAAGTCTAGTATCAACTATTCCAATATCATTCCTCATAGCTGAAAGGGCCATAAATCACTGCCACTTTAGAGGGGAAAGTTAAGCTATAGAGAAAAACGGGCAACTTTCCAAAGGTCACTGTAAACCAGCAAATATTTCTGGCTTGAGCCTCAGGGAATGGTGCCAAGAACCCAGAAAGGATATTCCTCTTCATCTGTCACATCAGCATACTGAGCCAGGAGGGCAGCTTTTCTCTGCTTCTCTTCTTCTGACACCATCCTGGGCTTTACCACGATCTGTGCCTGCTTCTCAATTAGAGTTGCAATGGCCTGTACTTCATCTGAGAGATGGTGGAAGGAAGAACAAGAAGACTGTATGAGGAAAAACAAACTCACTGAACCACTAGTCTACCCAGAGAGCACTCATACTGTAGGACATTGGAATCTGCTGCCTCCTTAAAGCCCTGAAGTTCAAAGGATGTGACTTAGGGGCCAGTGAGAAAGGAAAGGAAAGGCCATATGGGCCAGGCTTTGTATCTGCCTTTAATCAGATAAGCTCTCATTTTACATGTTTTATATATTAAAATTCAGCTACTTTAAAAAATGGGGTGAAAAGCACTGCATTTGAACTACAGAAAGTTAAGTTCTTCTAAACATTCAAGTTTCTTCCCTCTTATCCCGGAAACCTAAGAATGAATGTGGAATCAACTTAAACTGGTTCCTTTCATGTTTATGATTATGGCAGGTAAAAGTGTTAGATTAAGAATATTTTTTGGAGGGATTACTTCTGAGGTTTACCTTATAGGGGTACAGGTGAATCTTTCTAAGAGTAGAATGTGAATGTTTTAAAGCAATAACTGAGAAAATG